CACAATCAAGAGAACAAGTTAGACGACTGATGGATAATAAGTTAAAAGGAGACCCAAGGACATAAAGAACATTATCAATGATTAAAGAATGGAAAATTTTAACAATTCCAACACCATGAGATGATAGTCTAGAGCCATCAGCTAGTGTAACAGAAGGTAAAGGATTAGTAGAGGATAAAAAGGAGAAGGAAGATTTGTTACCAGTAATATGATTAGTGGCTCCTGAATCAAAAACCCAAGGACCAGAAGAAGAAGATTGGGTTAGACCAGCAAAAGATGTACCTGTTTGTGTGACAAATATAGTGGAACTAGAAGACTGTTGATCCTTATACCATTTGAGAAATTTGTTAAACATAGTAGGTGTGTCGGATGAAACAGAAGAAGGAGGATCCCTAGCAGATAAAGGTGGGGAAAGATCAGTCTGAACAACTGCAGCAGGTCGAGGAGGACGACCATGTAATGCATAACACTTGTCAATCTTGTGACCTAGCTTGCCACAATGTTCACACTCATGTAATGCATAACACTGGTCAATCTTGTGACCTAGCTTGCCACAATGTTCACACTTAGGACGTCATTTTTCCTGTTTGCGAGAGCGAGTTCGGTCATCACGGTGAGATATCAATGCAGAAGAATCATTAACAGAAGCAGGTGTGTCAGGGTTGGGTTTAGTTGGTACACGCAAAAGAGTGGAGCAGGTCGAAGTCAAGGTGGGGACAATCGGAGAACCCAAAATCTGATCACGGATATGTGAATATTGATCAACAAGTCCGTGTAATGCCCCTAGCATAAAGAACTTTGATCGTTGTGCTATCTCGATGGCAGGGTCGGGGGAAGGAGACAATAACTCATTGAACTCATGAAAAAGAATATGAATTTTGCCCATATAATCAGTCGTAGAATCTTGATGTTTAGAGGCAATAACATCTACAAATTTAGAACAGACATCATAGAGACATTGAGTATTATTCGTATATAATAACTTGACATGTTCCCAGATTTTGGCACGCGTTTCGTAGGAACGAAAAATTTGTTTTAACAAAGGATCAAGAGTACCCTTGAGAACCATACATAATTGAGCATCAATGGTGTCCCAACAGTCTTCCACATCAGGAGTGAGAGTAGGTGCTTTCGGGGAAAGACGATCAAGATACTTCTGACTCTTAAATCATAATCTGACGTCTGAGGACCATGTGGCATAATTAGGGCCAGTTAACTTGTCAATGAATAAGTGTACATTAACATAGTTAGTGTAGATGGAAGGATCAGATGCAGTACTGACAAAATTGAAAGTACTAGAAGGAGCGAAAGAAGTCATAAAGGGCAGAGGCGGTGACGACAGTGGTGACAACGGCGTGAACCAGTACACCAGGTAAGTTCCCAGGAAAGAAAGGTGGGTCACTAATGGACACACTTAAATACCAAGTCTTTCTTTGTCAGAACCTTCCTAGACATGCACTTTCATACTACCAAATAATATCCAATAACAAAAATAACTCTTTTCTGATGTGGAAGATCAACTTAACCAACAATGGCGGTGACGGCTCCAGCAGTGGACAAAGGAAAAAAAAATTCAAAATAACCTTAAGCTCTAGATACCATGTTGAATATAGAGAAAATAGAGTTTGAGATTAATCTCCCTTGTGTATAAACCACACATAGGATAATCTATTTATAGTAGAGAGAGATACAACTAAAAGAGTAATTGAAAGTAACAGAATAAACAGAAGATATTGTTTGATATTGTTGTTAATAATATCTAACAATATCTTAACAATATCAAACAATATCTAACAGAAACAATGTCATTAGGGACTGAGTTTGTAATTGAAATCTGAAATATCTCCCAAGATTCTAATAGAGTATTCAGTAGTCATAATCTCAAAACTTTATCACCAAAGTTGATACCCATTCTTGACAATTAATTTAGGAGCCCTTGAAATTCATTTAAGTTATCTGAAATGGAAGAATTCACCCTGTATCTCAAATTTATCAAGCAATTCAATAAATACAATTTATTATTGTCTAACTTATAAGCATACAAGGACTCAATCTTCTCCCACAAAGTTCTAGCATATGTCTCATTAGCAATGTGATTATAAATATTATCTTGTACATATTGTCAAATAAAATCACACACCTGTTGGTACTCAAAGTCTAATTCTTCATCAAACATAGAATCTGGCAGCTTCTGTGTAGTAAAGACTGAAAGATGCAATTTCTTCACAAACAACAAATCTTTCATCTTACTCTTCCACAAATGATAATTTGTATAATTTAAAACAATCATATTTATATTTTTCTTGATTATTCAAACAAGTAAATATAACAAAAAATGAAGTGATTTAATGTCACTTTGATAGGGAAAACATCACAACAACCAAAAATACAAAAAATAAAAATAATTTACCTAAACTTACAAGAATTTGTGAGAAGCAACAATAGAAAATGACAAGAATAATTAAAATAAAGAACACCAATATTTTAATATGAATAAAAAATAGTCAAATAAAATGCATAAAAAATGCTTACGAACAGTTAATACATCAAAGCAATAATGTTCACAAATATAAAGAAAAAAAAACACAAATCTAAAATTCAACCACGCAAGACTGATTTTTCAAACCATATATATGCAATTGACGACCCTATCGTTCGAAACGAATAATCATATGCTACAAACCTACTGTCAGAAACAGAAATTATAATTTTACTAAGATAAATGCATAAACAAGTGAAACAAATTTCTTTTTTTTATATCTTTTAAATACTGCAAAATTTTGTTTGTTCTTAAAGAACTATATTCATTAAGGTTAATTGAAATAAAATAAATTTAATTAATTAAAATTTTTAAACATAATTGGAACTCAACCTAATTATAATTACTTCTCTAAAGAAATGGTCTTTTTAACCACTATCAAAATACCAGTTTGCATTGATTAAGATATAAAATGTAATTCAAAATTTACCTAAGCATTTTTTATACATCATTTTTTTAATAATCAATGTAAATACTCGACCTTTGATCTAAGAGTAAAAAACAAAAGCAAAAGATAACACACATCATAGAAGCCCTCCAGGCTTTCTAGAAAACAGCACCGCCACATAAAATGCCAAAACCACTAAACAAGTAAAATATTTTTTCATAAAAATTTACATAAATAAGTAAAAAGTATTTAAAAACATAATTTGACAAGGAGAAAATTATACTTTTAAAAAAAATTAACTTAATTGCATTTCGAAATACAACTTTTTTTTCGTTCTTAATAGTGTTGTATTTGCATATATAATTTTATTTTTTATATTTATTTAGATGATTTTTTTTAAATGTTTATATTATTATAATAAAAAAATTAAAAATAGTGTTCAATGTTGTGAATTATAAAAAATGAAAAACATGATCTGTTTATTATGAAATTATGATAATTTTTTAATACTCAACCTACTTTTTAAAAACTACTTATATTCATAATATAAAAATAATATTTTATAATGATTTAAAAATATTATTATAATCATTAAAAAAAAGTGTTTTTATATTATAAATTTACTTAAATTTTAGGATCAATATATAAAAAATAATTATCCTATAAAAATAAATATATTACATATTTAACATTAATTTAAATTTTGGGAAGTAAAATTTATTTCATTTATCATCTTTTTCATCTTAAAAATCAGTCTATAATTTTATTTTTAGATACTTCTAAAATTCAACTGAAATTTTTTTTTCACATTTTAACACCAAACTAAAATATCATAAAATATTAAAATAAATAATTAATTTATAACAAATAAAAATATTTATATCAATACTTAATATTTTTATATTATACTTCCCATGCTAAGTTATCATGATAATAAAAAAAATTATAAATAAAATAATTTTGTTTATTATTTTATTACTTCAAAAAAATTATTGTGAGTATCTTCATTATTTTTTATTTTATTTTCTTATGTCTTTTTATAAAGATAAATTATAGAAATGAAAAATTTTTAAATTAAAGAAAAAAACTTACAATCATGAATATAAAAAATAAAGATGAATTAGTGATAAAAAAATAGAAATATGAAAAGAAAAAATAAGTGTATGATAGAAAAAGTTGAAATAGAAAGATAGAAAGGTGAAAAAAGAAAAAAATATAAGAAAGAGAAAAAAAGTGTAAGTGAAAAATTGTATAAAAAAATAAATATGATATTTATTATACACACAAAAATTAAGAAAAAAATTTAAATTTTATTTATATTTATAAAATATTTTTTATTTAATTTTTAAATATTATTGATTTTTTTATGATAATTTAACATAAATGAGAATTTTTTATATTCAATATTTCTTAGTACGATGATGCTTATGTTTACTTTTCAGGATTTTGTTATTTATTGTATTGAAGTTATTTTATACGATGTCTATGAGAAATAAAATTATGTATAAAAAGGAAAAAGTTGACTGTCAAATTGTTTACAACAGTTATATTAAAACCCAACTTAATAAATTATACTTTTTATATCATACTTTCTCTATCGTCTGGATTTATATGGATTGTAAAATCAATTTAAAAAAGTGTTTTTTACACTAAAACAATTTCATAAATTTGGTGTTTTTACCACATAAAACCAACCATTAAAAATAGAAGTGTAAAGAGGTGAAACCAATTAAATGCATGCAGCATCCACTCTGCAGCAATTCTGAACTTTCAATGGACATTTGTGAAAAATGCTGACAATGAACCATGTGCTAGTTACTGAACACACCAATATGGTGACAGGTGAAGCCTGAACTCCATTCCTGTGGTAATAGGGATGAGATGATAGTTGTCACTGTAAACCTGCATGCAACTTGAGTGAAGAATACAAAATGCTAGATATTGACAGCTGTGCCGCACTGTATTATCAATAAGATTAAGATAATTTATAAATTACCCACAAAGTTCGCCAACATAAAGAGGCATACTATCCTATCTGCTTCATTGCATGCAATTCATTGATTAGCAACAAGAATGGATGAAACAAAGTTGAACATGATGAAGGACAATAGGTGGTCACTCCATGGCATGACAGCTCTTGTCACTGGAGCCACCCGAGGCATAGGGTTGCTCATCATACGTTAATCTTACCCCTACTCCTTAATTGTTGCTAACACCTATGGGTTAATTTGCTTTTATTCACCTAATTAGTTCCTCATTTTGAATGTATTAGGCATGCCATTGTTGAAGAATTGGCAGAATTTGGGGCAGCTGTTCATATATGTTCCCGAAACCAAGATGATATTGATAAATGTTTACAAGAGTGGAAAGGCAAGGGACTCACTGTGACAGGTTCAGTATGTGATTTACAATGTTCTGAGCAACGTAAAAGACTCATGGAAATGGTTGGCTCCATCTTTGTCGGAAAGCTTAATATTTTAGTAAGATTCAACCACTTAATTTTAGCGAATAGCATTCTCGTTTATAAAGTTTAGGAATTAAATGGAGTTAACAAAGATGATCCTTTATCCATTAATGTGATTTACACTAACAGAAAAATAAATAAATACGTAGGGATGGGATTTGATGTTGGATAAAAAGTGTTGAAATTCAAATCTGAGTTAGAGTCTCACATACAAAACTTGAAAATTGAATAACTTATGAAATGGGAAAGACACTCGTACAACAAACCCAATAAAGATCAAGGCTTGTGTCTAAACTTTTCAATGAACAATACCAGACATCGCATGATTTAAGTCATAGGTAGTTGCCAGATAATCTGAACTATTTTTCACTCTAAAACGGATAAGGAGAGATAAATGAAAAGTATTAATGGAATGAAGTTATTGTATAAAATATTGCCTCCATATTGATTCTTAATTTTCTACTCTGTTTTAGAAATCTTCATATTTGAATTGATTACATGATGAAGCGGTTCTTTTTTAGGTGAACAATGCTGCGACAACTATATCCAAGAAAATAATCGATTACACTGGAGAAGATATATCAACCATAATGGGTACCAATTTTGAGTCCGTTTATCATTTGACTCAACTTGCACACCCACTTCTAAAAGAATCTGGGAATGGGAGCATAGTGTTTATTTCCTCCATTGCAAGTTTAAAAGCTATTCCTGTTTTATCTGTTTATGCAGCCTCTAAAGGTATGTAACATGTTTCATTTTCTTCATTTTACATATAACTCTGATGTGAATCTAGCTTGATGAACATGTTTGGGCAAGAATGACTCCCTGAAGATACCATATATCTGAGTATATATTAATATAACTCATTTACGCAGGAGCAATGAATCAATTCACCAAAAGCTTAGCAATGGAATGGGCAAAGGATAATATTCGTGCAAATGCTGTAGCACCTGGACCTGTTATGACTAAACTTTTAGAGTCTATCATGGTATATATCATATGTTCAGTTATATAAGTTTATCAATGCCTAGGCATGTGTCATTAACTTTAGACATGAAATATAATCAGAACACTACTATTGCATATCAAAGCAAATTTCTAAAATTTAAACATTATACTTAACATAAATCATTATTATGGTATTTATCTGCTCATAGTATTCATTATGATATATCTTCTTACAGAACTCTTCGGGAGGGGATGAGTCAGTGGATGGTGTTGTGTCTCAAACATTTGTTGGTCGCATGGGAGATCCTAAAGAGATATCAGCCTTAGTTGCTTTTCTTTGTCTTCCGGCTGCATCATACATCACTGGACAGGTTATATGTGCAGACGGCGGTTTCTCAGCGTAGTTTGCTCTTAATCAAATCTACTGTTCTCCACTCAGTTTTCAGCCTCACTGTATGATTCTCAATAAACATATCCATGTCTCTTTTTCTCAATAAACTCAGTTTTCAGCCTCACTGTATTATTCAGAAAAATATGTGTGTCATTTCTTGGTTGTTGAGAATCCGTAATTAACAAGTATTATTGAATATGTATCTTTTGTTTCTACATTTTAATTGTTTAAAATTTTGAAGATATATTTTTTTAACATTTATTTAGAAAAATGAATGATTAATCTTTTAACTGTCTTAAGAGTAGACATTTGTTATGTCATAATCTAATACAGAATACTGATAATAGGAATCAAAATTATAAAAATTTACATTAAAAAGATATATAAAAATAAATAATTTTTATGAGAATTAATATAAAAATAAAAACATTCCGCTGTAGGAATAAAATTATATTAACACTTGCTAGTGTTAATTGTTTAAAAATATTCCATTGTGTTTCTTTGTAAAAAAAAAAAGATAATAATGTAAAGTTACCAAAGATCAGATGTGTCAGTTATTGAGCAGTGATAATTGTACAACTTCAAATTTGAGGGAAATGCATAAAGCTTGAATTGACTTATATTCTTTTGTGAATGAATTATTCACCTATGATTGATCAGTTAAGGTTTAAGTTTTTATTTTTATTGAAGTTTAATTAAATCTTCAAGTAGTTTTTATGTTTGTTTTTATTCAATTAGCTGGGGATTATTCATCATTGTACTTTTTATATGCATGATGTTTGGGATGATTTGATTGAAAAATTGGATCAATTGTAATTAAAAAATTATTTTGAGTTACAAGGAGACCAATTATTGTTTTTACCTTTGTGGATAGGATAAAGAGATCAATCATTGTTGAAATCTTGTTTCCTATAATGCAGATATGTTTTTAATATAATTTAAAAGATTGACAGTGGAATCAATGGACTTAGGTCCTTTTACTCAAGGGATTAAGCTTTAATAAATATTATGAGTTAGTGGTAACACACTTTTGATTGAATAGGAATAGGCTTTGTCTCCACCTTCCCCATTTTTTTAATTTTTTTTTCTCTGACTTTGATCTTCCTTGATGTTACAAATTTGGTATCTATTTTTATTAATTTTTTTATCAGTTGTTCAATAATAATTTTTTTAAAATATATATAAACAAAAAATTATTTAATATTTTTTACAGAATAAAATATTCATAATAATGTTATTATTATATATTATACTATACTTACATTTTTTATTACAAGTTAATTATATTCTTTTGATTTATTATTTTAAAATATTAATAAATATGAAATATATAGTTTACAAAAAATATTTAATAATTTTTTTTATAAATTAATATAAAATAAATAAAAACTTAATTATCAATCCTCAAAATTATTAATCATTAAAAATATAATTATTTAATGAATATAAAATTTGATTTATAATAATAAGAATATAATTATTACATTGATGATTTAACTTGGCATTGTTCAATATTTACAACCATTGAGTGAAATAATTGCATGATATGATGGGATTGAAAGATAGTATATACAACAAATAAATTTGAAACCATAATATTTAAACAATTTTTTTTAGTAAGGAGAAAACAACATAAAGGTTATAAATTACACTATCAATAAGCAAGAAGAAGAGGTAGTAACTGGTTCAAACATGTACATTTGCATATTCTGAGTTACTCCAACTTGCAAGCCAATTTGTGCAACCATTTCCTTCCATTAAACTGTCTTTGAAAATCAAATTTCAATCTCACTTATGTGAGATAAAGTGAAATAGAGGAAAGATGACACTTCAGGAGAATGTGTTGAATCAAATTCGTTACAAAATTTTTATTTGCAAACTTTATTTAACAAGAGCTTATGATTTTATTTTTTATTTTATTTTACCATAACTACTATTATTAAATTTCTTTTTCGTAGTGATGATAAATTTATAAAAAATTGTTAGTGTATAATGTCAAGTCAATTTTTTTTTATTTAGCTGAAGTTTAAATTTTGGAAACTATTTGAAAAAATACTCCATGCATTCTAAATTTTGCATTATTAATCACTTCAAAATTTCAACTTGAGGCAGAAATTGGTTCTTTAGTATAACAGCGGAAAAGTGGTTAGATAAGTCATTTTTAATGTCATTTTATATGGGCATGAGATCTTTATTTCATATGGCTTCTTATTTAATTTTTTTAAGTCATTGGATTCGTTTTTTAATTCTGTTTGAGAATTTCTCCCTTTTTCTATTTTATTCTGAAGAGTAATTAACATCAATTCAATTACGTTTTCATATTTTAATTGAACATTTTTTTTATTCTCAAAGAATTTTATTTTATTTTAATTTTTATCAACGTGGATCCAATTACGATCTTTTGTGATTCTAAAAATTATTAAAGTAAATTCACGTCTGACCGTATCAAATATAATATAGATAGTGTTCGCCCTGAAGATTTCGTCAATAGGAAAAAAATTTCAAGAATTTATAATTTGAAATTGAAATTATTTTTAATACAAAACGTTATATTGAAATATGAAAAACAAGTAAATTAAAATAATATTTGGTTTAAATATGATTATCTCTTAGTTATTATAAATTTTGGGATTTTAATTTTGAACTAATAAAGTTACAGTATGATTGAGAAAAAAAAAACTAGTTATTAGGTATTTAATTATTTTTAAGTGTGTGTTTAGATTAGACGATAAATTTGAAAGAGAGATAAAAATAAATGAATTTGAACAGAAAAAAGATAAAGTTTGGATTGTTTGAATTAAAAGAAATTAATTACAATCATGAAATAAAGATTTGTGAAGGTTGTGAATGATGTAATTGATTTGATTAATTAAAATATTAAAATCTAATTAGTAAAATGATTATATTACAATTTTTCCATTTGTTTAAATAAATATTTGAGAATAAAATATAAGTTAAATAAATAATGTTTAAATTAGGTGTGATATATTATTTAAAATATATAAAAATTTAAATATATGAATTTATTATAAAATAAAATATATAAGTTGGAAATTATTCTTATAATTATAATTATCTTTATTTTTGTTATTAGTATTATTAATATAATAATAATTATATATATATATATATATATTGTTATAAATATTATTATTAAATAATTTTTAAAGTATAATAATTTTATGGAATAAAAATAATAAAGAAAATTAAAAGACAATTTAAAAATATATATATTTTTTATATTATTTTAAATATTTAATTAAAAATATTTTAAAAAATATTTAATACATAATTATTTACATATGATTTTTATTGAAAAAAATATAAATAACTAAATTTAATGATGAATGAGTGCTTAATGAAAAATAAAAATGACATTTGAAAGATAATTTATGGGTAAAATAGTAATTCTACTTAAAAAAAAAAAAAAAAAAAAAAAAAAAAAAAAACTAACTTTCTTCTGTTTTCGCCTCGCTTATGCATGGATTGCTTTTCCTTATTTATCATCTTCATTTCTTTGTATTTCTCTGAAAACAAACTTGATTAATCCATTCAAATCATTCTATATCCGTCCGCATGAACAAGAAATAGGCTGAACCAAACATAGGCTAAGGGATATTTGATTTCAGAGAAGAAATTTCATGTATTAAAAAATTAACTATATCATACTTTTAAATGTAAAGATAACTTTATTTACCAAAAAGATATTTATAATTTTTTTATATATATAATTTTTTTTTATTAATAGACATAATTTCTCTTAATTTAGATTTCATCATTTTATTATAATAATTTAATTATATTATTTTTTAATATTTAATATATACAAAGGATAAGTAATTTTAAGATACAACTTAATTAAAATATTTAAGTTTCAAAATGATCCATGTTTGGATTAGATGATGATTTGAGGGAGTTGAAATAAGTGGATGTGAAGGAAAAGAGAAGTAAAATTGAAGTTATTTAAATTAAGTGAAAGTTGGTTAGAAATGAGGGAAAATGAAATAAAAATTTGTAAATTATGTAATTGTTTTAATATATTAAAAATTAAAATTTAATTTATAAAATTGTAAGATTAAAATTTTATTCTTATTTTAAAATAAATATTTTAGAATAAAATATAATTAATGTAAATAATGTTAGAATTAAATGTGATATATTATTTAAATATAAAAGTTTAAATATATGAATTTATAATAAAATAAAATACAATCATTGGAAATTAATTTGGAATAAATTTGACATAATTTGTTTAAATAAAATAAAAGTGTAATTTTAATTAATAAAATTATTTTAAATTAATTATAAAGTTAATTTAAATTTAAGTAAATGATTAGGAATGAAATTTGATAAAACAAATTGCATATTAAATTCTAAAATTATAAAAAAAAACATAATAAATAAATACAAAGTTAATAGAAACAAATGCGATGTTACAATTTCCTAGTCATACATAACAATAAACATGAATAGAACTTTAAATCAATAACGACATAAATTTTATTGAAATAAGTCTTGAAAGTCGTCAAATCATTTCTTAAAATTGTTATCTTTATCTTGAACTTTGTTGAAACATCTACTAATAGTTAAATTTAAATTAACTAACTAAATCATCTTTCATCCATTATATTCTTGTTTACATGTCCTTAATCCCCCTCCCAAATTTGTGATAACATTTGACCATCACGAGGTAGTGAATGCGGCTGAACTAGTTCATGATAGATAGAACCCTTCCATGTTGCCACACACCATTAAAAGTTGACAATTGGGAGATGAGTGGGTCATGGTTTCCCTAAAGTTTTGTAACTTACATTAACATTTATGATTTTGGACCCCATTATTTTTAAAGTTTTGTAACTTTCATTAGCATTTATGATTTTGCCCCCCAAACTTAATGATTATTAAATATACATATATATTTACCTGTTGAAAGATCCTACTGACACTCATTCTTATGTTTCCATGCTTCATACAGATACTGATAATTGTAATTTTGTTGTTGTTAATAAAAAT